TGATCTGCTCCCTGGGCCCTTCTCATCAGAGGCTGCTGTGCTGAGAGTAAACCCTCTCTGAGAAGGTGGAGCATTTTTCTAAGCTGGTTGGGCAGATTTCAAAAGGTGCAATTCAGTGACCAGAAGACGTGCTTAGTAAGCAAGCCTGTACTTTCCTTGTCCACCTCAACTGTCCATGCTGATGCTATAAGTATGGTGCAGTGGCTGAAATTATGGTGATTTTTGAAAAAATGCCAGAGTCGAAATTCTGCCTTGACAGTGTATCTGTTAAATACTACTAATGTTGCTTTGGGCTGACTCAGTTGCTTTGAACTTGCACAGCTCCTGTTATGAGTAAATGAGAGGCAACCAATTATCTATAAAATAACAGCATGCACAGAGGAGAGGCTGACGAATTACAAATGAACTCCACTGACACAACGGGGTGTAGAAACCTGCTCTGACTTCCCAGCAGCTAGGGGTGATGTTTGCCGATTTCACCAACAGCATAGCCCACTCAATTCAAACCTCAATTCAAACAGGGCAGGAGTGGGGACAGGGAGGTGATAACAGCTTCCCCTACTCGTGGTACACGTCACTGCTTTAAAATTAAGTAGGAGACTCAACATGGCTGTGTAAAGGCAGCAAATCCTGGTAGAGAATACCTAAATAAAGGGTTAGTGTGTTCCTGGAAGGATGTAAGGTGAGCTAAGGAAGGCAGATCCCCTGTCTTCTAATGTGACTTGACACTATAGGAGCCATCATGAAGCTCCTGCCCCAGCGCGCAGAACAGTGCGTAGGGAGCGAGTGCCTACATTCACCTAAGCAGAAGGCAGATATTAAATCCCTGGAGTGAAAGGATGGCCAGCCGCCTCAGGGATCTGTCTGGGGGTGCGTGAGACAGCTGCAGCTTCATTCAGCAACCCTCACACTGTTGGGTTTTCTATGCATGGTGAAGGCAGTGTCTCTTTTTCACTATTGCTTGAGAAACTGCAATTCAAAGTCACTTTCTGCAGGGTGAAGGATACAGAGAGCACATCGCCAACCCAAGCAAGGGAAAACCAAGAGAATTTGCATTTGGTTTTCTGCCGGGTTCCACGAGAATTCTTCCACAGAGCCAAGGTAATGCTGGTACCCTGAGGGCTTCAAGGGGCTCAGGAAACAGTTGATAGTTTGGGAATGTTTCTCTCTGTGGTCTGGGGCTAGTCTTGTCAGTGCTGAGGATTAATCTGGGTTTATATGAAGGAGCTCCTGGACAGTGGTTTCCACTGACTGAGGGGTCGATCGGCATTTCCACACCAAACTTTCCGCACGGAGCAGCTTGTTGCCTGTTACAGCCGCTTTTCCTACGTCGGGCATCTCTGGGTGCAGGTGTGCACATTCTTCTCCGGAATATGTTTGTTCAAACCCAAGTGGTAAGACCGAGGCCTGAGCGTTGGTCTCCCGAGAGGACTGATTTCAAATAGATGCACTCGGCAGAGGGCCAGTGTGCCTGTGGCAGTAGTGGGGCGGGACGCCAGGCTTCCTGCCATGGACTCGGGTCCCCCCAGGTGCCTGGTGAGAGGCCTGGGGAGCACTGGCTTTGGAGGAGCTGGCTTGCTCTGGGTTTGAATTCTGATCTCCACTACTGTTTGCCAGAGATGGAAACCATTTGCCTGTTTCAGATCACAGGTGTTCTACCCTGAATCTTGCTGTAAGTTACTCTTAGTCCTTTTGAAAAGGTCAGATGGAGAGTCTCACTTTGGTGCTGGAGTTTCATGCTGCTTTAATGGAAGCCGCCTCTCTTATAACAAAGAGGAAAATGAATCTCAGTCCTGGCGGCTACTGTCAAGCAACTACATGGACTCGGAATTCATCAGCATTGTTTCTCTTTCAGACTTAGTTTTATGCTTGCCTTCTAATTATGAGTAATATTCATTTTCATTGAGACTCAGATATGAAGTTTAAGATAAATAATACCAGCCTGGTGGTATACAAAGGTGGGAATTATTAATGCAGTTTGGGGAGCACTGTACTCAGCCAGGGTCATTATTTAGGCCCATGGTCAGGTGGCGGGGAAGACAGGGCAGGCAGCGCACCATCAGTTAGCGCACGCCCAGGCCCACTTAGTTCCTGCTGCCTAGCGGCAAAGTGGCCCGGGAGGCAGGAGCTGCAGCAGGTGGCATTAGCAAGGCGGTCCGGCAGGGTAGGAAGTCCTCACGATGGAACCAGGGAGATCAGCAGACCCAGTAAAAAGACTAGAGAGAATGGCTTTAGGTGTTGGACTGCCTGGGTTGGATTGAGATCTGAGTTCCATCATTTACTAACTTAGACCAACACTTAACACCATGGAGTCTTGATTTTCTCATCATCTGCAAGATAGGCTAATAATAGAACCTACTATCGTATCTGTAAAATATGGTGTATGCATGCGTGTAAGGGTTTACATCTGAATGTTGCTACTTCCATGGAAAAGACAAAAAAAGGAAAAGAAAATTGGGCTCATAGCAGCCATGATGTGAACATATCTCCTCCTACTTGTAATTTGCTGTTTTGCTGAATGAAGAAACAAAATCTATTTGTCGTATTTGAGATACGTTTGCTCTAGTATGGTGTATTTAAAAACTTAAAGAACTCGTGAGTGAGTTCTCCATGATGTTGGCCACCCTTACGAATTCCAGGGCTGGGCCGTCTCGGCTGTGCCCCTGTGCACGCTGTGCAGCGCACCGTATGGCAGAGTGGGCACGATCAGCCTTCACACTGGCTTGCTGCTGAGGCTATGATCAGATAAATGATGGACAACTGAGTATGTCCAAACATTGCAGGAAAGCTCTATTTATTAACACATTTCAGAAGGGTCATGAACCCCTGACCTTGTGTAAACATTTGGTGTGTAGATGGATTCTGAAGAGGCAGGAGAACGGGTATCAAAGAACCAGGTCTCTTGAAAAGGACGTGTCCTCTCCCTTTGTCTCTGAAGAGAACTATGCATCACACCACGTTACAGAGTGGAGGGGACGGTGCTCTTGGTGAGGCCTCAGGTCCCGTGGGACGTGCCTCAGGCCTCACCAAGTTGCCAGCTGGCCACTGGCGTGACCCTCGTCTCATTTCCCACATCCGACAGCGGGGAACCCTGAGGTGATAGGTGTGGTCTGTAACCAAAGCCCTTTAAAGAGAGAGATTTATTAGTTATTTAAAAACCCCATGGGCACTGTGGTAATCATTTGTATAGTAAGTTAGAATGAATGTCTTTCTGTCAATACTTACAAGGCCCGTTGATTCATTTGGGGGACAGGAGATGTTAGGTCTCCAGGCAGGATGGAAGCAAAAACTGACCAAGCCAAGCACAGAGGAAACTCGGGTAGTAAGTTTAAATCCTCCTAAAGTGTCTTTAAGGACTTAAAAGTCCTGTTTTCATCTCCACAAAGCAGCCCAAGAGTTTGTAATGCAAGCTTGACCCTCGAAAAGTCAAAGCCCTTTGGGGCCCCCAGTCTCAGGCTGCAGCACCAGGCTGCACAGCGCTGTGACCTGGCGCTCCCTGCCTCCCGACCACACCAAGTGTGCCACCCAGCAAGCTTCAGGAAAAGCCCAGAACTTTTTTATCGGTGCCTGAGAGTACCCCTTACATAAGGTACCCAGAAAGGAAAACAAAACAATGGCCTAGGAAGCTGAGTCTGAAGAACAGTGACCCTATTTGAATGGGACATTCCAGAATGACACCCTGGCTTTCAGAAGTGGACTAGACAGAGGTGTGCCATCATGCCCATAGGCCTATGTTCCTAGGTAAACTAGCTTGATCCTTAAAATAAAATGTCAAAGACAGCTTCTGCTAGTGCTACACTATCTCCCTCCAGGCCACTGAATGCAGAGCTGACACACCAATGACACACGGGCCTGAAACCAGCCTCTAGAACGCAGAGACCTGACTACAACGGCATACTAGACCAATAACGGAGAGAGGGAGTTGGTACTGGGTCTCAAAGCAGTTAAAATACTTTAAAAAGGAGGCTGGGAAGAGAAAGGCCAACAAGTGCACATATATTTTAAACTGACTAAAAAAGACGTATTTCAAAGATACAACAAATGTATTTTCTACCTAAAAATCACTAAGTGGTTGACCCAATCTTAAATAGTTCAGCTGCTAGCAGTATTTGTTCACTAATTGTGTTTTTAATTTGTATCTGACATACTTTAGCAGCTTATAATACAAACACATATACAGACTGCCATAATTCTGAGAAACAAACTCTTTAGAGAAGAGGTCCTTTATCAACAGGGATGCCAGATAAAGTACAGGATACCTGGTTACATTTGAATTTCAGATAAACAATGGGTAATTTCTGTAGTCTAGGTATACCTCAACATTTCATGACAACACAATTGTTGAATTTCAGAAGATTCATGAGCCCCTCGACAGTGTATAAAAACTTGGTGTGTATAATACATTGTGAAAAGATTTGCTTCAGCTTTCTGCAAGAGTTTTAAATCTGTGATCTCCCAACACGAAGGCAAAGAGTAATTCTGCCATGCCTGACCTTTCCCTGTAGCCTGAGCTTCCTAGAAGCCAAAGCCGAGGGGCACGCAGAGAGCCGCTTATGGAGTATCAGCCAGGGAGAAGAGGTAGCCTGGGTGCCGCTTGGTGTGGTTGGGAGGCAGGGAGTGCCACCAGGTCACAGCGCCATGCAGCCTGGCGCTAAAGCCTGAGACTGGGAGCCCCAAAGGGCTTTGACTTTTCGAGGGTCAAGCTTGCATTACAAACTCTTGGGCTGCTTCGTGGAGATGAGTTTGGAGAGGGTCAGGAAGGGAGGGGAGGACAGTGGACAGACAGGACAGTGCTGGAGAAGGTGGCCTGGAGACAGGAAGAGGAGACCCAGAGGTTGGAGTAGGCACCTCAAGGGTCAGGGTTTTCTCCACTCTGTGTTTTGAGGCGGCCGCCCTAGGATGTTAGTGCAGCTGCTTTGCAGTGTCCCCATCCTGGGCAGGGAGCCCCTCTGCTGAGGCCCCCCAGAGTGCTGAGAGAGGGTAAAGCATAGCATCTGTACCTGCATCACTGAAAGTAGGCCCGGAGCGTGGTGGCTTCCGCTGCCATGTCCTCCTCCGACCTCCACAGGGCCGGGCGGTCCTCCTCCCCCTTGTCGTGCTTCTGGAGCTTCAGAGGAAACAAACAGAGCAGGCTCATTATGGGGTCCACAGGCTCCCCTTGAACAAGTGTGGTGGTGGTATTTGTTCACTAATTGTGTTTAGTGAACTGAATTTGCAGATCAGAGGCTGGGAGGGTAGCTGCCAAAATTTGCAAGTAGGCAGGTTTCTGGTAAGAATCCACACCCCCAACTCTTATAATAAAACCACCAGATCAGGCTACACTGTGGCCCATTCAATGCCTTGTAACTGTCTGCTGGGAGTGGGGGTTCCTAGATGGGGGACATGCTGCCATTTCTCCCATGGCATGCTTGGCTGGCACCATCCATTTATTTTACTTGACCCTGGAGGCACTGACCTTTCCACTTGCCCAGGATCATCCCCCCAAGCTGGCCTGTGGTTCACCTGTACTCCGTGGCTTACCCTCCTTATGTGAGCAATTCTGTTCAATGAACCAAAATAGCCCGAGAAAATGTGTGATAATAATCCAGGGGCTGTGAGTACTGAGTAAAAAAAAAAAAAAAAAATAAGAGTAGATTCATTAAAAAAAGGCTTTAAGCAGGCAAACTGTCAAAAATATCAGTGAGGAAACTTTACAAAAAATTAACAAATTGGTCTTAGCCAACTGAATCATCCTCTTCAGATACCCATATTTATTTAAAAACACATCTTAGATATCTCAGATTTACATATAGATTCGATAAGCTTTCAGTGCTACCAGAGAGGATGTCCTGGGAACTCCCTGCATCAGAAGAGCTCAATTTTCCCTCTCCAACTGCTACTGCAATTCTGTTTTACTGAGTCAGGGTGTTACTCCTTTGTGTGGCTCTATACCTTGTAAAACGCGGGGCATGGAGCTGCGGGCAGGAGGCACGGCGTAGTAGTGTGTGCTGAGTCCTTTGAGTGGATCGAGGCACCGACGACGGCCACTATCTATGATGTAAAGGGCCGTTTCTTTGACGTGCATTTAGTGAGGTCATTTAATCCTTACACCAACCCGTCCACAAGGCAGGAACCATTCCGTTCCACCTTGCCAACCGTCACCCGACTAGGTGGCAGTAGTGCTGGCACTGTTCTCTGCACTTTGTGCCTTTTCGTCTATCACCACGAGGGGTAGAGAGTTCCACAGATCCTGCTTCACCCCACCAGGACCATTCGCCCCGAAGTCACAGCCTTTAAAAAGAATCTTGCCAATTCATCAAAAAGCCTATCAACTGAAATAGGAGATGTTTGCCCTGTCACGTCAAAATCACTCCAAATCTAAGCCAGAGACCCCCCACCCTGGCAGCTTGCAGTAGATGGAGAAATTCCCCTATTATTTCAGAGCAAACTTTGATATAGAAGGGAAAGCAGGGAGATGGCCTGGCTCTCCACTGAGCTGTACTTCCGCTAAGGGTACAGTTGGAGCCTGAATGAGGTTCACAAGCATAGAACCAGGCCACGAGCACGTTGATGAGGGTCATGGATCTTCTGTCCAGAATTTGGCTGCTAGCACACTGGTTTTACATTTTGCCACATAGATTTAATTCTCCTTAGTGGAAGAAAACCACATTAGAAGTCATTTCCTCCCTTGCGGAGGCAGACATGACGCGATGGCTACAGGCGACTCAACGGGATTGTTATTTTTCTACTCAAGAACTAATTTTCATTTTGATACTAGCTTTAGGTCTGTCATAAATCCATCTTGTAACAACTCAGTAGGATGACAACAATATATACAGCCCAGAAAATACGACCTTCTCCCTTCCTGTACTGCCATCGGAAGACCCAGAAATCAAGCATTAAGTGGCCTCATCAATGCAGAGACCAGATGAATCCAAATAATTTAGAGCCTGTGCACATTAATGCCTCCCTGGTTATTAGGCAACCGTCTGCTATTGTCACATGCCTTACAGATGGCAACGCTGTGCCGACGCTTAGAAGTTGTTTATGGGAAATAGGAAATACATAAAACAAAAGCGATCATATTTGCAAAGCTCTGTTGAATATGGGTTTTAAAACTTCAGAGGTCTGCCTTTTAAAAGTCCCAGATGGAAGCATGTGGCTTTCTTTAGAACAGTAGTACTCAATCCTGGCTGCCCACTGGAACCACCTGGAGAACCTTAAAAAATACTGATGCCCGGCTTCACCAAGGGATTCTGGTTGAATTGGTCTGGGGGCAACCAGGGTTTGGGGACTTCTCAGGCAATCTAGGGTATACTTCCCGTTGAGAAGCATTGCATTTGTGTGTGGCTAGAGTCCACGTACATACAGAAATACACATTTGCCTCTAAGCCCATTGCTCGTGACCCTTTCAACAAAATGGAGACCATTTTCAAAGTCTGTCCCAGAACCTCTTTCTTCCGTTCCATGGAGTGTCTGGCCTGCAAGGTTTGCCCCACTAACATGAGGATGCTAATCTAGCTCAGGAGCTTCTGAGTGAGTTTTCAGTCTCTGCAGAAATTGGGAGTCTGGGAAAGATCCTAGTGGGCAAGACTTGTGTCCTAGAAGAGCCACCCAGGTGACTGAGCATTTAAACAGGCTGTAGTTTGGAGGGCATTTCTGTTTCCCTGAGCCAAACAAGAACCTGGGGGCTGCAGCCATCGCTGGCTCACAGAGAGAATTCCCAATGACCTCAAACAGTGGTCTGTCCAAAAGGCACTCCTTCCCTGGGGCTTTAATGGAGCTTTGTCCCAGATGAACCCCCCTGCTTACCTCAGGTGCCACGGGGAGAGGCAGTGACTACTTCTTAATACAAGATCATTGTTCTGTCCTTGCGATGGCAGGGGCTGGCCCCGGGCGCCCCGAACCAGACAGACCCCTTCGCTGTCCTCAGGGGGCACCGGGGCGGGAGGGAACACACCAGAGGGTGCTGAGCATGAGGGGATCAGTACCAATGGGCCAGCTGGGGGAGGGACTAACCGCATTTGGAAGGCTTTCCAGAGAGTCAGTTTAGTTTCAGAAAGAAACAGTGTAACCTCAGAGAGCCTGGGGGGAGCAGGATCATGTAAGGAGCGTCCAGGAAGGGCTGTCTAAGACCACCAGGTGAGGCCCAGACTTGAGCAATGAGGGCAAGCTCCTTCCAGTCCATGTGCCTCGGTTTCCCCCTCTGCTAAAAGGGAGTCAGAAAGGAGTTGTAGCGATGCACCTGACGCGTAGCAGCTGTCCGCTGCGGTCGCTACTAGTACGGTTACTTTTAGGCTGGATGTCCTGTGCCCGGGACAGTGGCCCCCGACCAGCCCCAGGAGGCTGCGTCCAGGAGGAACAGTGCCTTTCCTGTCTTCGTGGCTCCCCAGTGCCCGGATCTTTTGGACCTTAAATACCCTGTAAAAGGATCAAAAGCTATGATTGGAATTCAGATCCAAACCAAATCATCTGATGAGGCATAGAAGTCTGTGGAAGAAATTCAGCTTCTTCAGCTCTAAAATGACTTTCAATAATCCTTAACCCTTAGGGCTGTTGAAAGGAAAGGAATGAATAAAGTGTTAATGGGGGCTCCTCCCAGGGAAAGGAAGGTTAAAGTCCTCAAGTAAAAGCTTGTGATGAAGGTCAAATGCAGTCAAAATTATCCTGCGGGCTTGGTTGCCAGATCTAGCAAATCAAACCAGACACTCAGTTAATTTGTCTGAGCATATCTCAGGCAGTACTTGGGACACACTTATATGACAAATGTCCATTGTTTATCTGAATTGCAAATGGAACTGGGCTTCTTGTATTGTGTCTGGTAACGCAATCTAGGAGACCCCTAGAGAAACAGCACAGGAAGTGTCTGGTTTGCTTTGAGTTGCTCCTAAACCAGCCTCACTGTGAATCCTGGAAAAGACTGTCCAAAGGCATATCAAATTCATGGCCAGCATTCTGTGCACTCCCGGCGTGTTATTAGTGCATGAGATGCAGAGTAAATCCCCAGCATATTTATATTCCATAGTTCATTGGCTCTAAGGTGCTCGCCTTTTCACCTGACATCAAAATGTGTCCTACAATCAACAGTGAGTCATAATTTAATTGTGGGTGTCTTTCTTTCTTGGTAGTACATAGAATAATAGCAATTTCTCTAATTGATGGTGTCTGGACTCGATGCACTGTAGCCCTCCAGTTCTCCTACCAGCAGGTCTGTGCCATTAGTTAAACAAGACTCGACTGGAGTCCCCTGGCTGGAAAATGCTCAGCGCCACAGCCAATGTCATGCATAGTCTTGGGAGGGAAGTGCACATCACAGTTACAAAGTTTGCAGAAACTTGGACCATAGTCTTTATTCACGTTGCACAGAGAGTGAAGTGTGTGAGGCCTCCTCCATGTGAATTCTGTTTCTATACAGCTTTGAAAAGAGAATAAAAAATGTATCTTACAGTCATTCCACTTTATCTGCCTGAAATGACTGTGGGAAGGTGGTGCTGCCAGGGTCTCTGCCTGTAGTGCTGGGACGTGCTGGCTTGGGCATGGCGCTCCTTCCCGGGCCCTGAGTGTGGTCAGGAGGCACGAGGGGTGATGAGTTAATTCCCTGACGGGATGCCCACATGGCTGGGGCCTTTTTTTAGCTCTGTAATGGAATACAGTAGGAGGCATGATCTACAGTCATTTAAATGTTTTTCAGAAGGTGAAACTAAACTGTAGTAAAACGCCAACCTGTCTTCAAAGGGGGAAAAACAATATAATGCCACTTCTTAAAGAAGCAAGCAGCAGAATATAAACTTGGGTGTTGCTAAAAAAAGTGCATTCATGTATTTCATTGTTATTAGTTTTGTAAAATAACATAAAGAGCAGAGAGCTTAAATAAACCATTTCTGATAGGTTGATGGTTATTTTCAGACAGGTGTTTATACATAAAGTCTTGAAAGGGAAATAATTTCAATGAATAGGGAAATAAATCCTTACTTTTCTTAGATCTGATTCTCCGTTGCTACTTTCAATTAGGCCAACAAGCATGTGTTGGGCACATGACACATTCCAGGGCGTTGAGGAAAGAGGGAGCGAGATGGCCAATGACAGGCAGGATGGGGATGGCTGAGAAATCTGGACTTTGTTTTTGGT